GTAAGCACACCACGCCCACCATCCGCCGGACATGGTTTTAGTCCGGCCGTATGTGCTTCACCGTCGACTCCATATCAATTATCTTCACACTCTGCAGCTAGCCTACCATCACCACAATCTAATGCCAGTCAACCAGCTGGTGGTCCTGCCTACGGCTTTAGTTTTCCTTCATTTGATATCAATGAGAAAACTGATAAAGATAATTTGAATAATAATAATAACAGCAACAACAACAACAATAACCCACAACAAATAGGAACAATGGCTGGAAGTATGTCAAATGGTGGAGCTGTACTTTTAGGTAATACAATAGCTGGCAGTGTATCACAACACCAGCAACATAATACACCACCACATCCACAACCAGATTCAGAGCGTTTGCGTCATTTGCTTACAAATAAATCACATTCACTCACATCTTCCCTGCTCGGAACAGACAGTAGTGATGACAAGGACAATAATCTGTCAAAGGTATTAAATAAAGACTTGCGTTTTTATTTTATTTTTTTTTTTTTTTTTGTATTATGTATTCATGGTTTGATTTACATATGATTTTTTCATAAAAGGTTATATATTGAAATGAATAAATACCATGTCATATAATAAATATATATTTTTATTGTAGTTCTACAAACAGGGTCTGGTTAATGCAGATGAAGATAAAGATGGAAACGGACCAGGTGGTAGTAGCTCGAGTTGCTCGAGTATATTTAAAATGTCTGCTGGTGGACCAAATTCACGTTTTGGTAGTGGCTTGCAAAAATCATCGAATTCTAGTAATCCTATGCTGCTTTCGGTAAGCTTAAAAATTTTCTAAAACATAATTTTTTGCAACTCATCTTCTGTTACAGTTATTAAATGAAAGACCTGATGATGATGAAAGTAAGGGTGGTGCAACAACAGGTCGTCAAAGTGAACTATTACGACAATTGCAAAAGGATGATGGCCATCACGGGCATAGTCATAGTCACGGACATGGGTCCCACTCCTCAAATTTGTCAACTGAGGAACTTAAACGTATACTCAAAATACAAGGTGATCCTTCAATGACTCGCAAGCGTTCATTAAATGAACCAGATGATGGTATTTCGCCAAAACGTTCTGAAGATCGCCCCTCAAAATTACGTGCAAAGAACAAAATGCTCGCCTCACTATTAGAGAATCCGCCAAAGATTCCAGTGCTGCAAACACCGCCCCAAGTTAAAACTATACCTGATATAACTTCATCAACGGTGAATCGTGTTAGTTCCACACTTGGTTCTCTTGGTGCAGGACCTACGACAAGTAGTCTCGGCATGTCAACAAAGAGTGCAACACTAACAACGACACAAGCCAATACCGCTAATATAGTCGGAACAGGACGCGGTGGCGGTCGTAAACAACAACAACAGCAGCAACAGCCTTCCGATGCCTACCTCACACAGCACCAGCAACAGCAAAATTTAGTAGCTGCTGGTGTTGCAAATCTACAACGACCTCAACAACAGACGCAAATGAGCTATGCGTCAGTGGAGCATTCATTCGTATCGTCACCACTAAATACAACAGCTACCTCAGCCACAGCAGCTGCAACATCAACAGTTACATCGCAAGCTGCTGCGCAACAATTACAATCACTCAGCGCAGCGGATGGTGATCCTGAATTATCACAATTATTGGATAGTGTTATGGATTATGTAGCAGATGATCAGCCTTTTGTTGCAACAACACCAACAGCAATAACGGGTCTAACGCAACAAGAAATGAACGAACGTGTCGCTATTAGCGCTATACAAAAATCACTTATGGTGGAGACATCGGTGTACGGAACTGGGCAACAAGCACAGTTACAGCAACAACAACCACAGCCACCTGCTTATCCTGGTAATATGTTAGGTAATTTAGTGCAACAGCAGCAGCAACAACAACAACATCAACAGCAAATGTTGCAATTAATAAGGAACAGTCAAGCTGGCGGAGCTCAACAGCAAGCATCAATGCAACAGTTGGTGGAAGTTATGCGCGCCAATGTGAATCAGGTATATATAATAAATTGTAAAGATAAACATATATATATATACTAACGAACCTATTCTGTGTACTTAACAGATTTGTCAAATTCTTTAATAAAAGAATGATTTGATTATTACATAGCAGAAAGCTTTTTGGTATTCTGGACACATCTTGACAAATTTCAAAACTCAAGTACCTAGTGCTTCTCACCACACTATGGTGTAAAGTGTTTTGTATAGAAAACTGTTCGCAATTATTCGTAACTGCTCGTAAAAAATGCTTGTAAAGAGCATATATTTTAAGTTGTTAAAAGTTGCATTTTTCATGCATTCAAATAACAATAAAAAATATGCTTGTAAAGAGCGTATATTTTAGTTAAGAATATTTGTCATGCATGCAAATAAAAAAAATGCTTGAAAAGAGCATATTTTTATAGTTGTCAACAGCATTTGTAGTATTGACAACTAACAAGGAAAAGAGCTTTTTATTTATGTTACAGAATACCAAAACCTTTACAGAACTCAATTTTGACAAGTGTCAATGTTTGACAAGTTTATAAAGTGCACAGAATAGGTCTGTAAATTTGATTTTATCGTCAGTTAAAACGGTAGTGACTATTTTACTTAATAAGGTTTCGAAAGTTGTGAATTCTAACAACCAAATTTTTACTTTTTTTAATTAATGAATATTTGGCTGACCGTACAGCTGTTTCAACTATTGCTAAATATTTATAAAACATATTTATATGTCTTGGTTGTCATTTTCGAATAATTAATTTTTCTTCAGGGATTTCAGCGACCCCCGCCCATGTATACAGCGCGTGGACGAGTGCCGATGAATGCAGTTGCTACTCCTGGCGGTAATGTTATATCACCAGCACAACAATATCGCGCTATGAAACAACAACAAGCACAAAAAGAACGTCTGTTGCAGCAACAACAAAAACAGCAATTATTAGTGCCTGAAAGTGCAACGGCACGCAACGATCAATTATGTGAGTTTGAAGAAAGTTAATAGATAACAAACCTCAAAGCATTTAATTTAAATATTAAAATTTTTCAATAATTGCCAGTGTTCTCTTCTATGAAAAGATTTTGTTGTTATCATAGCTGTCGAGAACCATTTTTACTTCATAATTGATTTTTGTTATAAATAAATTGAAAATTTATACATTCTTGTATAGATACCTCTTATACATAAAAGTACACTTTTTTATATCTGATATTAATTACTTGATTGCCTTAGGTTTAAATCCAGGTATTAATAATATTGGCACTTTGTTGAATACCACAGTAGCTCCAAACGTTTCGTTATCACGCACAAATATGCCATCAGATTCTCAATTGAGTCCCAATTTTGCTCAAAGCATGATGCAACAGCAATTAAGTCCAGGACAGCGTAATGCACTATTTAGCCCACAACCAAATCAAGGTAAGCAAAGTCATATTAAACGCTACTGTCTACAGTGTTCATAGTTAAAACGTAATTTCCTTCATCTCCTTAGGTTATGTACCACAATATCCGCAGAATGCACAACGTTTGTCACCGCAACAACAACAACAACTGAACCAACAAGCTAATGCCCAACAGCAGCAGCAACTTTCTTTCCAGAATGCACAGGGTCAGGGTGGTGTTAGTGTTGCAGCACAGCTGTCACCACGTCAACCAACCTACGGTGCTGGTAACGCTGGTGGTAATGCCGGCGTTGTACAATCACCAGGCATGTCGAATGCCTCACCACAGCAGTGGGTAGCTGCAGCAGCAGCAGTTGCAGCCAATAATGCCAACAATGCAGCACAACGTGGCGGTCACTCATTGCAGCAACATAACCCCATGTTGAGTGCGCAATTACAGGTAAATGTGAGTTGTATTACTATGTTTATAAGATATAAGCCATATCTGATCAATAATTAAATGTATTTTCATTTTCTTAGGGTGTAAGTCCGTATAATGCGCGCCAATATCAAAGTCAACGACGTGGTCTTAACTCACCAAGTGGTGCAGTGCCTGGTAGTATGACAACAGTTACTTTACAGCGTCAAAACTCGTTTCAAACAAATGATAGCGGTTTCAGTGGTCCATCAACATCGCCATCGCCACAATCTCCATACGGTGCTGGCACCACTGTATTTCAACAACAACAAATGCAACGCATGCAACGCCAAAGCAGTGTGCCACAAGCAACACAACATTTGCCTGGTGAGTAGTAAAAAAGTTTTTTAAACTGTTTTTATTGTATTTTAAGTTACCTTTTTCGCTTAGGCAGAAATTTAAGTAGACCTAACCAAACAGTCTATATAAGCTATTAGTATAAAAATGATATTATTTCGACAGAATTTTTTAATTATATGTAGTTGTTTTATATGAACATGAATTGCCTGACTGTAAAGACACTAAATAAAAGTTATTTAGCTCGGGTGAGTATTTACTGCCTTTGGAAACAATTTTTGGCGGTTTCATTGAGTTCAAAGCTATTTAGGTTACATGTAGTTTCAGTTAATAATATTCATAACATGAGTATTAAAAATAAATATTTTTTTGTCTAAATAAATTTTTACTTGCGTTGTACACAAATTGAACGCAGAAAGATTGCTACAAACTGAAAATAACTTCTTAAAATCGCTTACTTAATTAGTTAGTTGTCTCATAAGGTAATAAGTTAATAAGTTAATAATTCATTGCGAAAATTATTAAATGTTTATAACTTTATTAATAACAAAACTGTAAAGAATATATTGTCTATAGCAAAATTAGCGTACTACAATACTTTAATGGTACAACATGTAGTTAAAGGAATTTATGCCCATTACTACTACTAAACTAACTGCTCCACTAATTAAGGAACTTAAAGTACTAAAATTTAGGAGTATAATATTAAGTAACTAAATCAAAAAAAAATCAAGAAAAACTTACAAATATACATATGCAGCACTCTCGCTCATACACAATTTTTATTTTTCGCTTCAAATTAAATTAACAAAACAGGCTCACCACGCCCTTTTGGCGGTACAAACTCTTCCAATCTTGATAATGGAGGCGTCGTCGGTGTCAATAATACCCTTAGTGGTAATATTAGCATCAATGGTGGCAACGGTGGCGTTATACCAATCAGTGGCAATGGTTATGGAGGTGCTGCCGGCATGATGTACAATAATATGCCGTCACAGGGTGGCCCACATACACCAAATGATTTCTATGGTCGCACACAGACCGGTAAGCCGAAGAACTGTTCATATAAAAAGCACAAAAATCCCCGCAAACAATTAATTTTTTAATGTAACAATTAAAAAAAATATATATATATACATATCTAAAACAAAACTGTTAATAATAATTATGCAAGAAAAAACTGTTTGATGTTCAATACATATCTACATGCATATATAATTGTTTATATCTTCATTTATATATACCATCTAATATATATATTATCATATAAACTACACACATATAAATTCTCAGCCAAATACATATACAATTGCATATTCTACTACATATGTATATGTAAGCTAAATGTTGTGTTAACATAAAGACGGTCTTTATTTATAATATCCTTTCATGTTCATCATCAATTATCACCCAAGGTTTCTTGTATATAGGTTATTGTTTTACAAACCGGACGGATTTTGGCAAAAAATGACCTCATGATCTCCGATTTGGCTAAAAATTTTTTTATGAGTTCCTTTCATAAAATTAAAAGACGCGTATCTCGGGAAAAAATTTTGTAATTCTTTTCCTAGGAGATACGAACCCATAGGGTTTTGAGAATTGGCATTGTAGACACATTTTCAAATGGCTACATCTCAAGTTCTATAAAAGATAGAAACTTGAAATTTACAGCGTTTCAAAGATAATTGATTGAACTTTTATGAAATAGTTTAAACAATTAAAATTGTTTATATTTAAGTACTAATATTAACCGTTAAATTTCAAAACTATTTTTTTTCTCCATACAGTTTTGAAAATTATTATTTATATATTATTTGGATTCACTTTTAAATTTTACTACGAAATAAAAATTTTCGAGATACCATCTTTTTTTGAAATTTTTTAATATTTTTTTTTCTCCCGCAAAACACATCAAGCACATGCGTACTACATTTCCATTAAATGAATTTTCAAAGAATATGATATAAATATTCTTATATAATATTTTTGATTTCGATTAGTAATAAAATTCTATATAAAACTCAAACATTTCTGGACAATATTGTCATTAGAAGTACTTTTAAAAATTTATTTATCCTTCATATCAGACCAAACACGTACACACGATTTTTCAGTACAAAAAAAAAAAAGGTTTATATCACACAAATTTTTGTTTTTACTTCTAATTCAGATTAATATATAAATTCTACTTAAAAAAAAAATATTTCCACTGTGATATTTCGTTTAGAAGTAATTAAAAAAAATTAATGTTTCAATGTTTCAATCCGTTGAAGTTGAAAATGCATCCAAACAAGGCCAAAGTAAGGCAAGTTTCAGATTACCATATATTCTGCGTATGTTGCGGATGCCTACGACTAAAAAAAATCTGAAGACAAAAATATGTTATACTTGCCGACTTAAGCTGGAGATGAGGGCCAAAAATAATAAGAAAAATAAAGAAGGTATATTGGCAAACAATAGCCAGTCTTTGAACGAGGAAAATATACAACCATCAAGTAGTAGCAGTTCGGCTACATACGAAACTAAAATGAGAAAAAGTGCTGTTTGTCCATTAAACAAAGCATATATTGAGGTAAAAGCAATACCCCAATTACATCAAAAAAACTTAAACAACAGCAATATAAAAATGAAAAACTAAAGGATAAATTTTTCCAAATTCCTCTCGATGAATCCAACAATAGCCATGAAAGAAGATGACTTTGCATCAATTTTAAAAAATCTACAAGAAAAATTCAAGGGCACAGCAAATAGGACTATGAAAATAAAAATATTGAGTGTGGTACATAATTGGTCGTTTCGGAAAATTATAACTTACTTCCCAAACGCTATAAAACATATGATTTAAGTAGCTAAAAAGCTTGTTTCAGAAAAAGGAATCTTAGAAGACCCAAAAGTAGAAGATGCAAAAATCCACGCATCGCTAGGAAAACATTTAACCGATGCAATTTTAAATTTTTACGAATGTGATGAAAATAGTCAAGTAATGCCTGGGAAAAAAGACTGCGTATCCGTAAAAATTGACGGAAAAAGGACACAAATGTAAAAACGGCTCATTCTAAGCAATTTGAAAGAGTTGCATACTCTTTTTAAACTCAACCATCCGGACATTGAATGTAGTTTTTCAAAACTTGCATCATTATGACCACAACATTGCGTTCTTGCAGGAGCAAGCGGCACACATTCAGTTTGTGTGTGCTCCATTCACGAAAACGTACGATTAATGGTAGATGGAGTGAATGTAAAGGCACTGACTGCATGCAGTAGAAAACCGATAAATAACTATAAAGATTGCCTACAGCGCATGATTTGCAATACTTCATGCACAGAATGTTTTCTAGGAACCTGCGCCAAATGTCCTGGAACTGAAAATATCAATGAACAACTTCTGAAGATATTTGATGACAACATGATTGACACCGTTACATACAAACAATGGGTTCGTGAAGAGAGAAGCACATTAAAAACGTTGACATCCGAAATAGACGAATATTTGCAATCCTTAACAGATGGTTTAGACAAATTGCTGTTGCATTCCTTTATCGTTAAAAAACAGACAGAGTTTTTAAATGATAAGAAAAACAACTTAGCAAAAAATGAATGCATAGTTTTGTGTGATTTTTCCGAAAATTATGTTTTTGTTGTTCAAAGCTCTGTTCAAGGTATTCACTGGAATAATAATCAGGCAACAATTCATATTTTTGCAATATACCACCGTGATGAAAATAAAAAACTACAAATAAAAAATTTTGTCTGCATATCTGACTGTTTACATCACAACACAACTGCTGTACATTTGTTCCAAAAATACGCGATCAAATTCATTAAAAAAATTAGTACAGATATCAAAAAAATTTTATATTTTTCCGATGGATCGGGTTCACAATACAAAAATAAAAAAAATTTTATTAATTTAACTCATCACAAAGCAGACTTTGGTTTGGAAGCAGAATGGCACTTTTTCCCAACGTCATACGGCAAAGGACCATGCGACGGCTTAGCTGGTACCTTAAAGAGGAATGCTGCAAGAGCTAGTCTTCAACGAATACATAATCCAATTCAAACACCAAAGTAATTATTTAACTGGGTTAAGGAATGTTCACCAAATATTGTGTGCCATTTCTCAACATCAAAAGACTATGAAGCTGAAGAAAATAAGATTAAACACCGTTTCGAAGCAGCTACATCAGTTAAAGGCACATTAAAATATCACTGCTTTATTCCAAATTCCAAAAAAGTATTAATGGCAAACATATTTTCTTCTTCAGACATTACAGATTATGTATTAATTATGAAATGAGTATTAATAAAATCGCTATAAAAGCCATACATAAAAATAATATTTTGTTTTTAGCTCCTTACAGCTTATTTCCTATAACATTTCTGATCTGTGAAGAGTATTTTTGCAACTGTAGCAGAATAATAAATAAAACCAAAAAATGTAGGGGTAATTATGTGCTGCAGTTATGTAGGTAGTTCAAAAAAAAAAAGAAAAAAGTTTATTTAACGGTTTAATTATGTTAAAACTCATAATTTAAAAACAGAAATGATGCGGAACTAATTTAAAATGGTTATGTGTTATGTATAATTTAATATATGGTACATTTATTTTAGAAATAAAAAGTAAACATTTTTGTATAGATTTTCTTCGAAAATTGATTTAATGGTATTAAGGTGAGTATGAGCAATGTGTAGGACGCCTGATAAATTAATTTTTTTTAATTACTTCTAAAAGGAATATCACAGTAGAAATATTTATTTTTTAAGTAGAATTTATATATTAATTTGAACCAAAAAAAAAAAAATTTGTGTGATATGTTCCTTTTTTTGTTTTAATGAAAAATCGTGAGTATGTGTTTGGTCTGATATGAAGGATAAATAAATTTTTAAAAGTACTTCTAAGGGCAACATCATCCTGAAATTTTTGGATTTTATCTAGAATTTTATTACTTATCGAAATTAAAAATATTATGTAAGGATATTTGTAGTATATTCTTTGAAAATTCATTCAATGCAAATGTAGTACGCTTGTGCTTGATGTGTTTTTGCGGGAGAAAAAAAAATATTAAAAAATTTCAAAAAATATTGGTATCTCAAAAATCAAAAATTATTTCGTAGTAAAATTAAAAACTGAATCTAAATAAAATATACAAAAATAATAAAAAAAGATAAAAAAATTTTCAAAACAGTTTTGAGAAAAAAAATAGTTTTAAAATTTAACGGTTAATATTAGTACTTAAATATAAACAATTTTAATTGTTTAAACAATTTCATAAAAGTTCAATCAATTATCTTTGAAACGCTGTAAATTTCAAGTTTCTATCTTTTATAGAACTTGAGATGTAGCCATTTGAAAATGTATCTACAATGCCAATTCTCAAAACCCTATGGGTTCATATCTCCTAGGAAAAGAATTACAAAATTTTTTCCCGAGAAACGCGTCTTCTTATTTTATGAAAGGAATTCATAAAAAAAATTTCAGACAAATCGGAGATCATGAGGTTAAAAAGGTGTCTGAGTTGTAAAAGAATGACCCATATATATGTTCTCCAGTTTCAGCCATAATTCGTCTTCAACATATAAAACATATAACTGTTCCTAATATATATATATATATATATATGCTATTTATATGTATTTATATTTATATATAATATATTTTATTTATATATACATATTATACCATATATATATATATAATCATTATTTGTTATATGTATACATATAATATACATAATAAATGATATGTATCGTTATTGTATTGTTATGTTATATAATATATAATACATTGTCGAGTATAGTACATAACATCATATATATATATATATATATTATATATATATATATATTATATATATATATATATATATATGTGTGTGTTTTATGTAGATAGATTATATATACATTATATGTAATATATGAATACATATATATATAATATTGTAAATGTGTTATAAATTTAGTTGTTGTGGTTCAATGTACATAAAGTGCCTTTAGAATAAATAATATTCCATAGAACAGTAAACTCTGAGGTGTTTTGTATATAT